TCCCCAGACACTTTGCTAGTTTGTCCATGGTTTTACATTCATGTTCAAAAAAGAAATATTGGGCCATGTATAGTTAGGAGATTTTTTTTAACTCTTAAATATTGATATCATTTGCGAAGAGGGTACGAACGACTGCTTTTCAGCAGTTTCTAGCTGCAGCAGGAGACTTTGTTGCACCAACCAGTTTTGCACATTAGACCACAGATGAGACTGTGTCTACCACTTGAAGGAGGCTAAAATTTGTGTCTGTTTGCTCTGCCAATTTTTACTAAGCTAACAACAATACTGTATTGTGTGGGAGGTGTGAAAATAATTTAATGTTGACAGTGTCACTGCTGCTGCAAGTTGCCTGAATTAATGAATTCAGCCATTCAGCAAATTTTATCTGGGTGGTAGATTAAAGACCAGTATCTAGCACCTAGGTAGTATCAACCTAAGCAAACAGGGTGCTCCCTCGGGTGCTTATATCTCACAGGAAGTACAAAATGAGATCAAAATGAATATCTCCTTCACATAAGTTGACCTTTGTAGTACTGCTTTGTTAATTGCGTGGTCATATCTTTCAAAAGTGACATTTAATTTTGGCCCGACTGCAACCAAAACTTGACTAAAAAAACTCTATTTAAGCTGAACAACAGAAGCCAATTTGCTCTTTTGCCCTTCTAAAGTGAGGAACAACACTCTCACAGAGAAGTAACTCTCTAGGTAACATTCTTTATTTTTGCATGTTGCAACATAAAAGCTGAGCTACATGACGTAGGTGGACATGAATGCTTTTCAGGTGAAAGCATGTGTACATTTGGATCAGGGTTACTTGCCGATGAATGCAGCTCTGTGTTCGCTGATAAAGACATCAGCCGTTTACACAGCATGCTACCTCGTCTGGCCATTCATTAGTAACTTTAAACCAATGATTAACAGTACCTCCCACTCAATGTGTTCAATTACTTGGAGTGAAAGTTTTTGCATAATGATACAATAATTTGTTTGTGGAAGTAAAACTAATTACATCCTGAGTTCTGTAATTACAATTATTAGACCTGTCTGGTGATATTATTATAAACAGTTTGCACCATGGATTATGTATGCATATTTCTCAACACATTGTTGGAAGTTGTCATTTTCACTATATGTTTTAATCCCACTGCACTATTACATCAAATGTAAAATCCTGGATGTTGTATATAAAATCATTGTGATTCAGCATGAAATATTTTCTATGTTTGGAAACAACCTCGTTTACATATCTGCATGACTCAGGCATCTGCTGAGTTAATTAGTGAATCAAAAACAGTCTGCAGAGCAGGATTCATATTTAAAAGCCTCGCTTTTAAATAGCTTTTGATAGCAAACCATGTGAGCACCATTCTGGTGCCTTAGGCCAAACACCCACTATTTGACATCAAATAATTTGTGATAATCATGCAAATGTTAGAAAAAAAATAATGCTATCACAGTAACCATGGAGACAGCACTTACATTCACAGGGAAATGCTCTGCTTGTGGTGCTCTGATGTCCACTCTCTCCAGCAGAAGTAACATGGTGGTAAAGCACCTCCTAAAACCAGTCTTAGGAAGTTTGTGTCGTAGATATTGTCACAAGGACATCACATCAGAGTGCTTCCCAAGCCCCTCCACACTCCTTCATGCCCTGAACTTAGTCCATCGGTCTGTCTCTTTTGTACATTTACATGAACATAATTTGCACTGTCAGAACACAGTGTAAAATATTTAGTGTTCAGGAAGTAAAATAGAAAGAATGCTTTGCAACTGGGAATGTAGAGGAGCGCAGCAGGTTTTCGTCCAGGATTTCAAAGGCTTTTGCTGCACTTATGATACCCACTGCAACTCTTCCAAGGTCCATGCAGACATGCAGCTCCACAGCATGATGGAGGGGTGGTGTGTCTCTGTGTTGCTGTGTTATGACACATCCCCTCACTATTTAGAACACGTGCAATTCGATGATTGGTGGACCCATCCACCACCGCTCCCCCCCCCCCCCCCCCCCCCCCTTCCCTCCCTATAAAAACATGAAAGTAGCAGAGAACTTTTATCTTGAAAAAAATTAAGGACATTTACGCTATGAATTGACTAGGGATAAGCATGAGTATTTGAGTTCTTGTTTGGACGTTAGTGTTTGTTCAGCATATAGACTGATAGCCGCCCAACCTCCCGCATGTAAACATGACTTTTATGTGGTTGTTTTTCAATATGAAATGGGTGTTTCATTGTACAATGGTGTGCAGTGCATTCTTTCACTGTTTATCATGAGACAGCTGCTGCAGGAGTTGAGCTCTGCACCGTAAAACAGTTGGTGAGAGTCCACACACACACACACCCCTCCAGTGACAGACTAACTGTTAGAATCACACAGCAATGCTAACACTACCCAGTGGTTATTAACAGGGCTGAGTGTGCACCATTTCAGTGTCTGTGTGAGTTTGTTAGGACTGTTTAATGGCTTGGTGTTGGATGTTTGCCGGTGCTGCTGTGTCAGCTTGTGCAAACTGGGCAGACGATGAACTGACCAGGAGGGTAGCAGCTTGGAGACGGCCCTTCAGTGCTGTGTCTAACATATACGATGATAACGATAATGGCAGCGACAATAAGTTTGCTGATTTTTCCCATGTTAACTTTTAATTTATGGTTTGATCAAATCGACCAGAATGCTGGAAATTAAGTGTTTGATCCTCAAAGTTTTCCCCCATTTATATGTCCCCACCATGTAAAAACAAGAACACACCCTGCTGTAGCTCTCTACAAAAATGTAATACAATGTACAACATAAAATCCTGCTGTTACACTGCATAGTCTCCCTGTCTCCTCCTCTTGTATAATGATGAGAGGCTGTTGTATGTGATGTATTTACAGGATATGGTCTGAGTGATGGATTAATTTTATGGTTCAGATAAAATTTCATTTTCATGTATGTCTATCTTAACATCTAAATTAAATTTGCACTAAACTTACAACTAATTTCAGTTGGTCTTTGCTAAGTAATGCAAACATACACTACATCTGCATTGCTAATGTACCAAAAAGGTTTCCTCACCCTCTGACAAACCCTACCCTGTTCCTGGTGAAATGTGATGCCTGAATGATTTGATTTGGCCAACTCTCAGGAAGCCACTTCCTCACAGCAGCTTAACAGGCGCCTGGGCTAGATGCAGTCATCACCAGCAGCGCAGCAGATATAGCCTACGTACCTCTTTTTTTTTTTTTTTTAATCAAGGGTTTGTTTATTTTAAATGAATATGATTCTGCACCTGATGTTGTCTTTGTCTCTGCTTTGGTTCAGAATGATCTTAGATAATTAACCTGCAGTGCGATGATGCAGTGTTAACTATATTAAAACACTGGCTGCCGGAGTAATCTGTTTAATGCAGGCCCTCGTCTTTGTGAGACATCCACAAGCAAAGATATTTGTCTTGTAAGGCTCCAAGCGGGCTGATTAAACACTAAATGGTTTACACTGAGGGATGATGTCATAGCTGGAGGCTCCCATTTGCTGATGGCTCCTTGAGGGCTCAAACCTCAGCCCTGCTGGAGAGCGCTGACCTCTTTTCTCTCCACAAAGGGAATCAGGCTCGCCCTGCCCAGCTTTAAACTACCAATAGCAGTCATTGAAAGAAAAGAAAAGAGACAGTCATTTGGTCTTTACTGTGCCTCCCTCCGTGCCCCCCCTCACAGCACCCGCCTCTGTCAACTTTAGACCGAGTTGACCCAACTAGCATTACATTTAACCAGCACCTTTGTAATTGCTCTGTGGGCTCTTGCAGGGCATTATGCTGGAAGCGCTGCTTGCCATGGGCGTGTGAATGTGAATGTGAATGGAGAGGGGGTTGGAGCCTTGAGACTCTGTCTCTCTCTTTCCACCTCCCCTAAGCCCTTTTCAGTCATGGCATATGTAATATTGCTGGCATCATCTGTCTGTGAAAGCAAAGGCAAGTTGTCATTCAGAAATGGTTGACTGTCATGTTGATGTTTCTTTTGGCGGGAAATTTTAATTACCACATGGGAGAAATAGTTTTTATAGACTGGTCCGATTAGAAAATTGAATACCTCAGCAACTTCAAATGGGCTCTTTTACATTATTTCCTCTTTTATTAAAACTGATTTTGTGCAAAAGAGATGAAGATATTTTATTACAGTGATCTTATAATGTAATACAAAACATACATTTTGTGTGTCTCTCTTTCTCTCAGTTCAGACTAAGACTGTTAAAAGTGATGTGGAGATGTTGCTGAGGTGCATGTCTTAAAGGGGCTTTAGTGGATGAGCAGATTGATCTCTGGCTTCTTGATGCGTAGCGGCGCAGAAAGGTAGCAGGTGATTTGGTATCAAGCCCCAGTGATACAGATACATGGAGTCAGGACACCACTGTGCTAAGAGGCAGTTTTGTCTAATTGCCTCCTTTCAGCTCCACTGCAGCGCAGAGCAGAGCGAGAGGGAGAGAAAGAGAGAGAGACGGAGACACTCGTTGCTTCCCAGCTGACACTCGCACTGCTGTCAGACGCGTGTTTTTATTTCTTACAAAAGCTCTCCTTTGCAATGCTGTGTGCTCAGCCATGCATAGGCTACAAAGCTTGCCCAAACTCAGAACTCTGCTTGGCTCCAAACAGGGAGGTAAGTTTTGGATGGATTAATTTTTTAAAGCGTTTGATGTCTCAATGTGGTTTTGCAAGATTACTACAGTTTTCTTTACAAGCTGAGATATTCACATCCTGGAACATGCTTTGCTCGTTGTTCTCTCCCTTGTAGGGCTTTCATCAACTCTCATTTTGTTCACATTTTGTTGCTACAAGAGAAAAAGGGAGCTACCTAAGTGGTGTATGTGGGTCAAACTGATTAATTTGTCTGATACTTAGCCTCACTTAAAATACTGTTCATTGCATTACTTCAAGTCAAAAACAAAACTCTGCTGGTGCTCTTGAAAGGTAAAAAGTATCCCTTCCTACTGAGATGTTAAAATGGTCATACATTCAATGCTTCTGTTGCAGGTAATCAAAGTTTATAGTGAAGATAATACCAGCAGAGCAGTAGAGGTTCCCAGCGACATCACTGCCCGGGACATATGCCAGCTGTTTGTCTTGAAGAACCACTGCATTGATGACCACAGCTGGACTCTTTTTGAACACCTCTCTCATCTGGGGATAGGTAACATGTTTATTTTCTGACACACTTTTTGTGAGAATGTAAAAAATCCTCTAACAGCACAGTCCTAATCAAATCTCAAAAAGTTGAGTCTTAAGATAACAGTAGAGGCAGCTTAAGGAAAGTGTTGCTGATTTTGACATATTTATGTGCTGATATTAATCATGTGATGGTAATGTTAGTCCAGTGGGTGAGGTTTGCTTAATTTGATGGGCGGAGTGGCGGTAGGAAGTGGGGTGGTGACGTGTTGATACATGTGAGTGAAACAGAGCACTGTCCTGTTTTTGTGAAATCCTAAACCAATTCATTGCCCAGTCACATCATGTAGAACATGAGGGGAGCTAATGTTGGTACTGATTGTGTCTTAATCACTGTGAGGCATCAGGTATAGATCTTCCTCACATGGAATATTATTTCTCATATGCATTAGCAGAGAGGTAGTGCCGTACACTTGTCACCTGTATGATTTACAACCCTACTAGTATTGTCTGCATGGCATTTGTTGTGAAATGTGGTGGTAAACCAGGGTATTTACTGTAGAAATCTGGCAGAATGATTTTTAATAACGTCTGAAATGCAAACGCTCCTCTTTCTGTAAAACTCACACAGAGATGCTGTATTGAAGATGTATCCTATGTAGTGCACATCATATGCCACCAGAGGTCAGTCCCTATTAGTGCAACAGGCAGCTGAGCTGGGAAACATGGCGACTGTGCGTGGTGGGGATAATGTTACAGTGCTGTAAACAGCTGGTCTGCAACAGCACACAGAGACAGCAGGGAAAAACAGCATATTTTCATATTTACCTTTAATTATTTTATTTAATTAAGGGTTTATTTCAAACAAACCAGACGACTAACAAGACTAACTAAGATGGTTATGGTGATGAAAGCCAACTGTTGAGTTGCCTCACGTTGCCAGTGACACTGCAAAGACTACAGCTGACGGCTATCCAACACATACGTTCTGTGCCTACGTACAAGGAAATAACTCCACACCAGCAGATAGCAGCAGTCTGTATTTGTCATTCAAAAGGGGAAACCAAAAGATTGTCTTGATGGTAGTTAGCCACTTAGCGCATTAAAAACGCAATCCACTGCTAAAAGAAGAAGCATATTTGAACAATAACGCAAACCATCATGAGACATTTCTGCTAAAGAGCTCATTGGCTAAAGAGAAATAATCTTACCTTATGTAATAAGTTTGTTTTGGTCTCACTCCCTCTTTACTTTAGCTGTTTGTTTACTTTCCTCACTTTCGTTTCTCTTCTTGTGCGCTGAGCTCACCTGCCAATGATTTCATTCACTGACAGACTGTTGCCATAGCTGTCACCGATTCAACATGCTAGATTGGCTGAAATAAAGCAAAGAAGGGCCGATGAGGGCCAACAGTGCAGGACACATTGGAGTTGCTAGGGCGACAAGGCACTTGTTGACGACCAAGTATTGACCAACAGCCGACCTTTAGCTTGGTGTGTCAGGGCCTTTAGTCTTAGTTTAGTGAAAGAGAGAAAGTTGAATGCAGAAGGTGTACCATTAATGTGTATTCTTTAGACTGAGCTTGCAGAACATAGTGAACTCTACCATCATATACTATAAAACCCAGTAAAATTGCAGGGAGATATGAAAAAATATACCACCCAAGCCTTTTATCCATGGCTGCTGATTTGATCCATTTTAATTTAAAATGTCACCACCTATTAAGCTGACTGGTGTTGTTTGAAAACCATACAATAATTTTAACTTTAAGGTTTTAATTTTATTACAGATAGGGCTTGCTTTAGAAACTGTTAAGGAACATTTGAATTGATGTACAGCGTCAAATAATTTGCTGAACGATTTCTGAGGCATGTCTTTGTATATTAAAATAACATTACAGTTTGCATTCAATAATGGTGTATGAATGACATAAAATATAGTCCTTTTTAAGCACACAGTGAAAAACACATTTTGTCAATGATATATTATCACTGATCTGCTGGGGGACAATGTGACTGCTTTAAAAATTCTCAGTGCATTTTCACACTATTGCACACATTACATAATTCATCCATCTGTTCTGTTCCAATTATCAATGCTTTTTTAATCAAAACTACATATCATTGCTTTCCAGTGAGAACCATGTATTTAGATATTTGTTATTTTACTTTTTCAGATAAACTAACACATAAAATGCTCCTTTGTGTGTTGACAAAATTGCCTAGAGCTAATATAATCCTTCAACAACCCATTAAATTGTGACAAAATGCAATGTTTTGAGGCTCCTTTTCTTAATTTAGAAGAAGTGAAGTATTTGGAAATGCATGGTTTTTAGACTGTAGACTGCGGTTTGCACTCAGACTCAGTTCAAATCTAAAAATGCTCATTCATTAACAAAGAAGGGCTCATGTAATTTCACAGAATTATGTTATCAGCCATTTAAATCATGAATAGTTACTTGTTGTCTGATGACGTCTTTGCCCTGATGTTGTTCAGAGCTCTCTGCCTCACAGTGCTGCTTCACATACCAAAAAAATGTTTTCCATTAATTCAACAATCATTTCAGGTTCTAGGAAATAATTAATATTTATGTTGTACTGATTCACTTGAGAGCCACGCTTTCATCCGGAGGTTATGCATTGCTTTAAGGTTAATAATCAAACTCAGTGCCTTAAAGTCAAGCAATATGCTGTAACTTGCACACATCTTTGCATTGAGATTTTAAAGCATTTAAACATATTGGTTGGGCATTACAGCTGATTTATTCCGTTTTCTTCTTTTATCCACAGAGAAGTGAAAAACAGGTTAACCCGACATTGATTTTCTTTCCTCTTGGTCTCACCAGAGAGAATCATTGAAGACCATGAGTCTGTTATGGAGGTGCTTTCAGGCTGGGGAATGGACACAGACTGCCGGCTGTATTTTAGGAAGAATTATGCTAAATATGAATTCTTCAGGAAACCCCTGGTGAGTTTGTGATAACACATACTATATATATGGTGATCATCCCCCTCTTTGAACCAAGGAGTGTAAAGAGTGTTGTAATAAATGATGTTGCTTTCATATTGGTAGGACTTTTTCCCGGATCACATGGTCTCCATATCCAGTGAAACCAATGGGATGGTGGATCACTCTCAGCTTATACAGGTATCAAGTTCTTCTGTTTACACTGCTTTCACTTTGCCCTCGAGTGCCAGTTGTGAGGCTCTAAACTTGTGTCTAAATGTGTTGTGTGTTACAATTTACTGCACACACCCATCTATGGACAAATATTTCTCTACCCAACACAGACCTTTCTCAACTCCAGCACTTGTCCAGAGATACATGGACACCTCCATGCCAAAGAGCAAAGCAGAAAGTCTTGGAAGAAGTTTTATTTTGTCCTGCGGAGGTCTGGGCTTTATTTCTCCAATAAGGGAACGTCCAAGGTCAGTAAATTGAATGACTCAAAATCGAAAGCAATAAAAAAGAAGATTAGCACATGGGTTATTTGTTGAATACAACCAAAACCATTCTGTTGCATGCAATCTAGGTCAATATGCAATGCATATATACATATATATATATATATA